GTAAATATTACAATGAACAACAGGCCAGAGAGTCCCATTTAAGATACTTCATACCAAGCATGGAGATACTACACTGTCCAGCATATGTCTAATCTATAATATGCACCTAGGTAGCTTCCATACATGCAATAATACAAGCTAAGATCTATACCTGTGCTTCCATATTAATGAAAGGAAGAAGCTCCTCATAAAGCAGAGGTACAGATAAGGCAGATGACAAGGTATTTAGAATATTCATGCTACCATCAAACTCAGAGGGCTCACTTTCTCCTGTCACAATTTAACCAAAAAGAAGCTTTCATAATATACACATTTTTCCCATTCAGTACAATGGCAAGCACTCTGATTGGCCACTTTTAGTAGCCCCTTTGATCTTCTGGGTGACGGGTAATGCCTTTTGGGCTTGGACAGTAGCAGTAGTTATAATTCTAACCAAAGTTGTCCAGATATTTCCTAAACTGCATTCTTTTACTATTAATTAGATAAACACGTTACCATTTGAAGAATGCTATTTACCTTTTCATGTTTATTAGATAGTAGATGTTGACCAAATCCTTTCAAGTCTGACTGATCTATCTGCAGTTAATCACCCTTGCAAGTTTGCAAATTACCTCCTTTGAAATGTAACACGTGGCCCCTGAGTGCCAAGATGATATTGCATAAAGTGAACATAGCAAAGAGTCCTTGGCTATTCATTTGTTGTGTAAAATACATCTAGCTCAGTCCTAGAATATACTACATACAGTATATATATATATATTACATATTACAATATTCTTACACAGCCCACCCCAGCACCCCTTTGATCCAGCCATGTCTGTGTCTCTCCCCAGCCAGCAGCTGAAAGCCCGTTTCTCCCCATCTCCCTCCCGCCAGCTTTCAGCTGCTGGAAGGAAACACAAACAGCATCATTCTGCAATTGCCCTCCCCATCCCACCAATGGTGGCCCTGCCTTCATGCAAAGAATGCATGAAAGTAAAACGTGAGCCTTTAAAACCACTTTGCTTTTCAGTTTACTGAAAATCATGTAATTCCTAAGAAATGAGAGTGTCTTATCAGCTAACTTCATTATCACTATCATTGGCTACAGTTAAGCCACTGCCTAATGTCTAATTTATAGAAATATCTAATTCACTGAATAAATGTTTGATATTTGCATTGATGCAACCCACTGCGGTGTTCTGTGTACTTAATTATCCTGAGCTCATGTTGGGGAGCTAGGGGATCAGCAAGAGTTCTTCTGTTCATCAATTTGGCAAAGATATAGACATTCTACACATCCATCTTATATAGTTTACATGCATATAAGTGTCTTCCATGCATGTGTATCCATATACCCTATATCCTAGCTTAGGTCATTCCTGTTTCATCTTCTCATTGATTCATAAGTTACTGACAGTCACTAACACTGTAGGGGTTTCTGATTGGCAGATGATTGCTTTGATTTTATAATAATTAAAATAATCAGATATACACATCTTTTAGTGGCAGTACACCTGTTTCCAATGTGTACAATCAGACAATGCTTTATGGCCCTGGAAACAGTCTTATCACAGGCCCAACTGGTCGGGAAATTTATCACAATAATGACCTAGCTAACATCACTAGCTGAGGTGTCTATAAATATCAGTTACAGAAGTCCATGTCATCATGTATTTCTATATACACCCTAAATATATTTGCAAACCTACTTCCAATCATACCAATACCAAATTATTACATATATGTTTTTTTTTTCTATTAACCTTTACCCCCTAACTCTCCTGTATATCTCATGTTCAGCCTGTCTCTGTGTAATCTCTGTTAATTTCTTCACCTTCCTTATCCTGCACAGGAACCCCTTCATCTCCATCTTCCTACTATACATGATCTGTAAATACAGTGGGGCAAAAAAGTATTTAGTCAGCCACCAATTGTGCAAGTTCTTCCACTTAAAAGATGAGAGAGGCCTGTAATTGGCATCATAGGTAGACCTCAACTATGAGAGACAAAATTAGAAAACAAATCCAGACAATCACATTGGCTGATTTGGAAAGAATTTATTTGCAAATTATGGTGGAAAATACGTATTTGGTCACCTACAAACAAGCAAGATTTCTGGCTCTCACAGACCTGTACCTTCTTCTTTAAGAGGCTCCTCTGTCCTGCATTCATTTACCTGTATCAATGGCACCTGTTTGAACTTGTTATCAGTATAAAAGACACCTGTCCACAACCTCAAACAGTCACACTCCAAACTCCAATATGGTGAAGACTAAAGAGCTGTCGAAGGACACCAGAAACAAAATTGTAGACCTGCACCAGGCTGGGAAGACTGAATCTGCAATAGGCAAGCAGCTTGGTGTGAACAAATCAACTGTGGGAGCAATAATTAGAAAGTGGAAGACATACAAGACCACTGATAATCTCCCTCGATCTGGGGCTCCACGCAAGATCTCACCCCGTGGGGTCAAAATGATCACAAGAACGGTGAGCAAAAATCCCAGGACCACACGGGGGACTTAGTGAATGACCTGCAGAGAGCTGGGACCAACGTAACAAAGGCTACCATCAGTAACACACTACGCCGCCAGGGACTCAGATCCTGCAGTGGTAGACGTGTCCCCCTGCTTAAGCCAGTACATGTCCGGGCCTGTCTGAAGTTTGCTAGAGAGCATTTGGATGATCCGGAAGAGGATTGGGAGAATGTCATATGGTCAGATGAAACCAAAATAGAACTGTTTGGTAGAAACACAACTCGTCGTGTTTGGAGGAGAGAGAATGCTGAGTTGCATCCAAAGAACACCATACCTACTGTGAAGCATGGGGATGGCAACATCATGCTTTGGGGCTGTTTCTCCGCAAAGGGACCAGGACGACTGATCCATGTACAGGACAGAATGAATGGGGCCATGTATCGTGAGATTTTGAGTGCAAACCTCCTTCCATCAGCAAGGGGGCATTGAGGAGGAAACATGACTGGGTCTTCCAACATGACAATGATCCCAAACATACCGCCCGGGCAACGAAGGAGTGGCTTCGTAAAAAGCATTTCAAGGTCCTGGAGTGGCCTAGCAAGTCTCCAGATCTCAACCCCCATAGAAAACCTTTGGAGGGAGTTGAAAGTCCGTGTTGCCCAGCGACAGCCCCGAAACATCACTGCTCTAGAGGAGATCTGCATGGAGGAATGGGCCAACATACTAGCAACAGTGTGTGCCAACCTTGTGAAGACTTACAGGAAACGTTTGACCTCTGTCATTGCCAACAAAGGATATATAACAAAGTATTGAGATGAACTTTTGATATTGACCAAATACTTATTTTCCACCATAATTTGCAAATAAATTATTTCCAAATCAGCCAATGTGATTGTCTGGATTTGTTTTCTCATTTTGTCTCTCATAGTTGAGGTCTACCTATGATGCCAATTACAGGCCTCTCTCATCTTTTTAAGTGGGAGAACTTGCACAATTGGTGGCTGACTAAATACTTTTTTGCCCCACTGTAAACCCTTTCACTAGCCTGTCTCTATGTAATCTGTATAGAATCATTTCTTCACCTCCCTTATCCTGCACAGTAGCCCCTTCATCTTCCTCTACTGTATGTGATCTGTAAATAAACCCTTTCACCTCTTGTTCCCTCTCTGTATGACCCCATTGCTTTAATGATTTGCTGTATAATAATAATATCATGGAAGAAGATTGCTGTTCTCACTGCTCTGGTGTACTCACACTTAAAATAAGGTAAATTTAAAAAACGTGGTGCACTACCTCCTCATACATAAAACCATAAGCTTTGAAAATATAAAGTAACAGTCCAAAAAATGAATGTATAACAAAAATAAACGTCCAATCCAGAATATGTTGCATTATCATCCAGCAATTTTCAGCACCATGCTTGAATTGTGGCCCCACTCCCTGCTGTCCTTGGAACATTGACCTATAAATTATAATAGGCCAAACACACTTTATAAGGAATATGTGTCTTCAAATTTCTGGTCTGTGACGTGTTCCTTCCACATATTATGCCTCCATTGAACCTTTAGACTCCAGATCCGTGCAAAATAAAGCAAAAACAAACCATAGTGCAACACCATTTTATATAACTAAAAATTAAACATGCAACAGTATCCACTCACGTTAGACAAACATTATGTGACTACAAATTTTGGTGACCAATCATATGCATTACTCCACCGTGCCGACTATAATGTGATGTTTCCCATCACCAGGTAGGTGGACCACGCACTCAACTTCTTCCTTGACCCAACAGATAGGTCATACACGCTTGGGGATGATATCAAATTCTGCTTATCCACTGCCGATCCTAAGTAGCTACTTCATTAGTTCTGGCCTTTTAAAGGGACAAACGCCCGGATATCCAGTGGGATTAAGGTGTATATCATCAAAGATAAAAGGAATAGATCATAGTGCAACCCCATAAAATATGAACACTTTATTCAAGTAAAAAATGCACTCACAAAGGTAATGAATGAAAAAAACATATCATAGCCATCTATCAAAATGGTTCCTCACATCACTAGTGCCCGTTTGCGCATGACCAAAAGTGATGTCACTAGGTTCCGCCAGAAGCATTGCGTCACAGGTCATGTGACTTTTTCAGGATATTTTAAATGTTGGAATCTTTTACTTTATATAGTAAAACAATAAAAACCTGTTGGTTAATAATTACAAATGATTAAAAAATGCTTTGTCGGCCTCAAGAAGTTGTGTAAAGTTCATTTGGGTACAGGGTTGCATGCCTAAAAATGTGTCAGTCAAACTATTACAACACTGCAAACTGAACAATGACCTAGTACTGAAGGATTATTACAGGCTAGTACTCAAGTTGTTAAAAAAAAGTCATAAAGCTTTTGTTTTAAATACAGTAGAATTGCCCTGAAATGTTTCATAGGAATGCTTTCATAGGAACGTTCATTGATGAGGCCTGATATATTTTAAACCTTGTTTAATTTGGGTAGATATTTAGGATATTTTCTAAGGTTTTTTAGCTCTTTACAGGAAGTGATGTCTGACCTGGAGGAGAGCAAATATCAGAATGCAGAACTCCGCCTATCGATATATGGTCGATCTCGCAATGAATGGGACAGTTTAGCTCACTGGGCTGTCAGTCATAAAGTACACTCAAACAACGTTCGATGGCTTGTGCAAGTCCCGCGACTTTTGTGAGTAATTCATGCAAAATATAATTAGATTTTCTGTATTTATTCTTTATCCTTCTCATAAACCCTGCCTTGTAAACTGGTGCTCCCTGCTAAAATACCTTTATTAAAAGTGATTCCAAAGTAAAACATGACAATTTCCTAAATCTCTAGAGTTTACATAATCCCTCTGTGTTTTTGTGCATCTTACAAAATAGTATGTTTTGTTCCAATTTAATATTCTACCATTTCAAGTCCAAAGTCCCTGAGAAAAAAAAAGTTGGGAAAAGCAAAGCTAGTAAATATATATATATATATATATATATATAGTGTGTATATATATATATATATATATATATATATATATATATATATATATACACACACACACAGTATATATTGCAAATAAGCGGAATTCTGTATCAGTACAGTACATAGAAAATGATGATTCATAGATCATGGGTTTTATGTTGTTACCTTCAGGTGATTGGCACTGGCAAAAGAATTGCTGAGTCTGTCCCTATAAGACCCTGCCAACTCCGTAAGGCTCCATTTTTGTTATGATAGAGGAGGAAGGGACCTGTGTCTTGTACTGTACTCCAAAATATAGAATATACAGGTATGTCAAAATTCCCCTTATTTGTATCTTATAGTATGAGGGAAGGATGAGCCTTGTTTCGGGAGGGAAGAAGCTCCATGAAAGAAAATGGAAAAAAGGGTCAAAATGGCCATCTGATTGGGTGGGAGCGGCAAGAGGAGCACCAAGGGGGATATTACAGAAAAAAATTAGAGAAAAGGGGGGGGGCAGGTTCCTATGGAGACATGGCACAGCCATAGATGTCATACCTGACCCAAAAAAACCTTAAGGGGATTACTGAAGAAATGTGCCGGCTGGCAGGACATGGCAGGAAAAAGAAAGAGGTTTCAAGGGAAAACAAGAAACATCATATAGGAAAGGAATATACTGGTCTTCAGGCAATTCTGTCCCAGTGTGGAAAAGGAGTCCAAGGAAAGTGACCCCTGTTGATATACACAGACAAAAAAGGATGGATCTTATGAGGGTCCCTCGAGAAAGGAATCCCTTTATTTACAAGGATATCTAGGGATGACCACAAGGAGTCCCATTGAGTGGCAAAGAGGCTGCTCAAGACTGCTATGGGTTAGAGATAGGAAAAGGATATATAAGGCCAACTAGAATCTACAAGGTTCTCAATAAAATTCCAGAAGTATGGCCAAATCAAGGCATATATAGAATGAAGGGCGAGTAAGGAACCAAGGGTGACATTTTTATTAGATGACTAGGTGGTGCTCTTTTCCAAAAATTACCAAGCAAAAGAAACATCTTGTCCCCAGGTGGAGATTTAATAAAAGGGAGCCATCCAACGTAAGTATGGAATGTGCTAACAGAGAATATGCCAGTGGTAAGAATATTAAGAATAGCCTGCCCAGGGTGTCATAGGATAATGATGATGGCCGAGTACAGTAGGTAAGTGCCCGAAGCTACTGTGGACCATAGGTGGAGAGGAACAAGAACCACCCAAGAAATCACCAGAACAGGGGGATTTAAACATTTTGACATATACAAGGAGATCGGTTTGGGAGGATTACCTGTCTTTTCCTTGGGTGTCCAGAGGATGATTTAACTGTCCATTTTCCTTGATGTCACCAATAACATATCATAAAAGCGCAGATTGACCACTCTTAGCAGGGGGTCTCATATCTTCTGGTAAGCCTTGCATGCAAGTGGTTGGTGTCACATTGGCTATCTTTGGAAGTCTTCTGATCTCATCATGGCATTTAGGGACTGTTCTGCTTTGATCTCACCATATATTTCACTTATGGACATTTTGAGATTAATTATTTTTCATGTTTTTATCATGATTTCTGTTTGAAATGTTTAAAACATTAAAGCGCTGCACTTTATTTGAACACTGTTTATGAGCTGCCTGGTATCAAGGTACGGTGTCCAGCTGCTACATATTGGTATCTATTTCTCTTAGTGCAAATTTTGGGTTATATTTAGGCCGTTACTGTAAAGCTGTAAGACAGTGTGTTACGTCAGGCACTTGACAGGAATCAAATTTTTTGCATGAGCTTGGTTGTAATAGGCTCTCTTTAGGCTGGCATTAGCACTATGGACAGTGAGGCTTAACACTGTGTAGCAATTCCTACTGGCAGCAGTGCACTTGTGTCTGCATTCAGAGACCATAAGACCATTAGCAGTTTGCAAATTATGAAAATCCTTTCATGTCCTAACAAAAATCATGTTCCTGTAAATTTCCTTGCATATGATTGGGTATTCTTTGCAAAGTGAATTTACACCTAGCTTCACCTCATTCACATAGGTAGGTGAAAATTCACTTTGCAAAGTAAACATGCTCTATTCCCTTAGCAAATCAACCCTAATTGATTGTAATGAGTTATTCTCTTTTAACCTGTTTTCAGAATTGTGTTTTATTACTATTTGACATTACTTTTTCATTTTACTCTCCATTCAGTGATGTGTTTCGGAGTAAAAAGCAGATTAATAATTTCCAGGAGATTTTGGAGAACATTTTCCTGCCTCTTTTTGAAGTCACTGTGAATCCTGCTAGTCATCCAGAATTGTACCTGTTTTTAGAACATGTGAGTCATATGAATCCTTAGACTTGCCACACAACTTCTCTGCTCATTAGGTTTATAGATTTTCGGTGTTTGTTTACTGCTGCGTGTGTATAAATTAATATATTACTTGCAAATTTAAGTGCAATGTGTCTGAAATCAATATTATTATTGAAACATTTGAACTAAGCAGCAAATATCAAGTTACAAATCTAGGGTCTTATGCCCGGTGCACACAGTAAGTTTTTTTTTTTGTTCTGCCCAGCAAGCAATGTGATGTTAGTACAGCAATCTCCCCACTGTGCTAATGTGTTCTAACAAGGGGACTGCCCCCCCGCCAGAACACACTGGAAAGCATTCTCAGCCATTGGCTGCAAGCGATGATTGGATGCTGATCAGCTGCTGGTTTTCCAGCATGCTCGTTTGATAGAAGCCAGTTGTAAGATCAACTTTTGTCAGACAAGGATGTGTACACACTGGCCGAATGAAGGCCAGTCTCTACTATACCAGCTGATTTTGGCTGATATTTGGCCCGTCAGGAGAACATTCTCTCTGCTGAAGGCCTGCACTATATTAAAACTCAAGAGTGACAGTGCTTCCATTGCACCAGAGCAGGAAACAAGTTTAACACCAATCTCGGCATCCAATTCTAGCTTTATCTCAAGCACGCAAAAAGTGTCTACTTGACAAAAGCAGAATTTACTGCATCTATGTCACATTCCTTGGGCAACTAAAGGTCTTGATACTGCCATCTTTGTCAAGGGCTACAAAAAAAAAACCCCACACACATTCTCCAGATCCTCAGTCTCTACCTGAATTGGATCCTGATAAACCTGTCCTAGATGAAGCACACACAGAGGAAAATGAGAAGGATATAGAATCATGCCTGATAATGTTGATAAGATTACTGCTGCAATGCATAGCAGCCAGTTTCAAGTATGAAAGCAATTTCAGTATGTCATACGGCAGCTAATTGGATTGGGGCAATAAACATCCAAGAATGTCCTGTATTCCAGGACCGTGATTTAATGGGGCATTTGCAGTAATTACCTTCTGCTCCCCTCTTTTGTGTGGATACCCTAGATTCTAGGGCCTATCATGAGACATATCATGAGACAAATTTCCAGAATGGCTCTAATCTCCATTCACATGCGCAATATTTTGTGGCTCAGAGTCTGGACAGCTGAAACTGCCTGCAAAAAGCAGCTTGCATGTCACATTACATCTTTTTGGGGAGGCACTTGACCAATTCATCAAAGTTGTAACAGGAAGAAAGGATTTGCTTCCACAAAGGAAGATTCCAACCTCTCTTCTCAGGAGCCACTATCTTCTCAAAATGCAGAGAACCTAATCACTTTACCTAGGATCCAACTTCAAAACCTAAGTCCAGCCCTTCCTGTTGGCGCAAGACTTGGCGCACTAAGCCCACCAGGCACTCCCTAAATCCCCCAATGAAGGGGCGCCCTCACTCCTAAGAGGGGGACATCAGAGACCTATGGGTTCAATTGGTAGTTACAAAGGGGGTCACCACTTTTTTTCTATTAAATCAACCAAAAACTTCCCCAAAACAGTCAGATTTGCAGAATGCCCTAAACCACCTCTTGCCCCAGGGAGTAATTGTGCCATTACCTCCACAACCAAAGCCAAATGGGGGTATTCATCCTACTCTGGACTTAAAATCCCTCAACAAATAATTTAAAATACCAATTTTCGCATGGAATCTGCAGCATGGTTAATGGCCTCCCTGAGACTGGGGAATACCTGACATCTGTAGATATCCAAGATGCCTATCTTCATATTTGCATTTACCACCTCATAAACAGATTCTGATAGCCTTTTCCAGTTTGTTGCACTGCCTTCAGCCTGTCCTCTGCTCCCAGAGTTTTCAAAAAAGTCCTAGCAGCACTTCTTGCCCTGCTCAGAACTCCAAAAGGTCAGTTTTGGCCTTGTTCATTCTTTTTCAAAGACCTCTAGCTTTGCAATCCCTTGTAAAAACCTTTATTCAAGGTGTATCTTGCATCAAGCCCCCTTTAGCACCCTGTACTTCCTTTTTCTCAACTTGGTTCTCTCTGTCCTGCAGAAAGAACCCTTGGAACCCATCAGGGATATTCTCCTAGATGACCTCTCCTGCATAGTGGCCTTTTTGGTTGCTATCCCATTGTCAGAAATGTCTCTGAGCTAGCAGCCATTCCTCATCCTTCACAAAGGTATTCTTACGTCCAAGATCTTCCAAGTCCACCATTGCTGAATGGATAAGTATCTGATTGCTAGTGCTTACACTCTCAAACATAAATCTCCTCCTGTGCTTTACATGCCCACTCTACCAGATCAGTGGGAGTTTCCTGGGTATTTCTGCACCAGGCTTTTGTAGCCTAGCATTGTAAAGCTGCCACATAGTCATCCATTCATACCTTTTGGAAGTTCTGCCGAGTGGACGTTCAGTCTTCTTGGGATACATCTTTCATCACTATCTGATCACCCCACAGATTTTGATCGGATTCAGGTCTGGGCTCTGGCTGGGCCATTTTAAAACTTTAATCTTCTGGTGAAGTCATTCCTCTGTTGATTTGGATGTATGCTTTGGGTCGTTATCATGCTGAAAAGATGAAGTTCCTGTTGAAGTTCAACTTTCTAGCAGAAGTCTGAAGGTTTTGTGCTAATATTGACTGGTATTTGGAACTGTTCATAATTCCCCCTACCTTGACCAAGGCCCCAGTACCAGCTGAAGAAAAACAGCCCCAAAGCATGATGCTGCCACCACCATGCTTCTTTGTGGGTATGGTGTTCTTTTGGTAATGTGCAGTGTTGTTTTTGCGCCAAACATATCTTTTGGAATTATGGCCAAAAAAGTTCAACCTTGGTTTCATCAGACCATAACACATTTTCCCACATGCTTTTTGGCGACTTCATATGTGTTTTTGCAAAATTTAGCTGGGCTTGGATGTTTTTCTTCGTAAGAAAAGGCTTCCGCCTTTCCACTCTACCCCATAGCCCAGGCATATGAAGAATACGGGAGATTGTTGTCACATGTACCACACAGCCAGTACTTACCAGATATTCCTGCAGCTCCTTTAATGTTGCTGTAGGCCTCTTGGCAGCCTCCCAGACCAGTTTTCTTTTCATCTTTTCATCAATTTTGGAGGGACGTCCAGTTCTTGGTCACTATTACACAATATTTTCTCCACTTGATGATGACTGTCTTGACTGTGTTCCATGGTATATCTAAAGTCTTGGAAATTCTTTTGTACCCTTCTACTGACTGATACCTTTTAACAATGAGATCCCTCTGATGCTTTGGAAGCTCTCTGTGGACTATAGCTTTTGCTGTAGGATGCAACTAAGAAAATGTCAGGAAAGACCTACTAGAACAGCTGAACTTTATCTGGGGTTAATCAGAGGCAGTTTAAATAATGGCAGGTGTGTACTGACTCCTATTTAATATGATTTTGAATGTGATTGCTTAATTCCTAACACAGCTACATCCCCAATTATAAGAGTGTATGCACACTTATGTAACCACATTATTTTAGTTTTTTATGTTTACAGTTTATAGGTCACATTAAAGGGGGAAAAAGTTCTGAAACGTTTTATCTTTGTCTATTTTTTTTACATCACAGAAACCTGACATTTGAACTGGGGCGTGTAGACTTTTTATATCCACTGTACCTGTAAAATCCACATCTTGGAGTCCAGTACAAGACACAGACCAATCTTCCATTCCTTGGATATTTTGCATTGCTTGCCATAAAATTAGGACCCATGGAGTAGGATGAGATTATAGGGGAGTGGCCTAGAGGGCATGTTATTTAAAGCTTTGTCAGTGTCCAGTCTCCTGAAGGTACGAGCTTATAATACAGGATCTATGAATACTTTGCCTGTGTCTGGTACTGTACTCCTAGATATGAAATTTACAGGTAAGTCAAAATTCCTCTTATTCTATTTCAACCAACTGAATATTTTGAACATAAGAGATGCACCCTGAAAAGCTTCAACAACGTTTTTATGAAACATCTCTTACATCTAGCTTTACTTCCCCTGCCACTGCACTCTCTGTTGCTATTGACAGTGTCACATAATAAGAAAATATGAGAAATTGCAAATAACTTTGCATTGCTTTGCATGAGAAACAACATTTTAGTTTAATTTTAAACAGGACAAATTATAAAATGAATGGACAGTGGAGATCACAAGCAAAAGACACAGACCCAAACTGAGTGGCTTTGTGGCTTGTGGTCACTGAGAACATAGGTAAACATAAAATACCAGAAATAGTGAGAGCTGGGAAGAAGAGGTGCAGATGTTGATGAGCTTCTCAGGTAACATGGCTTCCACAGACCACAAATGAAAGGGGGCACACTAATCACAAAGCAGGCACACTGAGAAGCAAGGGTGTATGTAACCAGACCAGCAAAAGAACATCCAAAGTACACTGCCATAAGGGGGTACTAACTTCTGACCACTAAAATCTGCAAGCTGTTCTGTACATTATATGTGCCAGACCCCTGCACCATAAATGCTGCACACTGTTGTATGCTACATAGTCCCAAACTAATGGTAAATGTTTTCAGAAATCGCGTGACATGGAGGTTGAGGGTTTTGGGTACATTAGGATTTTTATGCATACTGTACTTAATGCCTTGCCAATCATATATGAAGTATACAGTCACCTCAACCACCCCAACATCAGCATGTCTCTTCATCCTCCAAATATTTAATGCAAAAATAGAGATCTCCAAAATATCACGCCTCTTCACTGCTTTCCGAAAAGGGGTAACTTGGAGGTGTTTGTACTGTCCTGGCATGTTAGGGCCTCAATAAATTTGCTAGGAAGTCAAAACAGGTTTTTGTTTCAAAATTTTTTAGTCTTTTTTTAAATAAAATAAATAATAAACAGTTATTAAATACCACCAAGAAAGCTTTATCTGTATAAAAAATGATAAAAATAATATAAAATCTATTTGCGTACACTATTGTATGACTGAGCTCAGTCATATCACAGCACTTAAAATGAAAAATGGTCTAAAAAGGAAGGGGTTGTAACATGTTAGAATGGAGGTGGTTAAGTAATGACAAAATTATCCTGGAATAAATAGGCCCATACTGGAAATGTAAAAATTGCTCTGGTCCATATATGAGAGTTGAAGTGGTTAAAGCAAACAGGAAATATTAGGGAGGAGAGAGAGAGAGCACCACTGTCTAAGCAAAGTAGTTGTGAGGACAGCTTCTTGGATTCTCCAATGGGTATAAAAAGATAAAAGGAGAAGAAAATAGAACAGCACTGTCTAAGCGTAGTGATGATGAGAGAACTTGTGGACAATGATAAAAAGGTGGGTATTGAACAAAAGAATGAATGTACACAGGATCTCAAAAGGTATTTAATCATGGCATTGACAGGTGTTGACTAATACACATGAAAGATCATGACATATCAATGAGTATTTTTGACAATAATATTTTTGAGTATTTTTGACAATATAAACAGGTGACAGCTTCTTGAATTCTCCAATGAATATGGAGAGATAAAAGAGAAGGAGAAAAGGCAGACCACTCCACTAATGCTACAGTATTAGTGGAAAAGTGATACAAAAAAGGAAATATACTGTAAATGCACTTTAGAAGATAGAACATAAGCATTACGCATGGTATCCAGCAGATGGCAATCGTCTATGGGTCCATATTGGCATGGAAAAATGTGCAGATAGGAGTTCCTGGTGGGTGGCCTCGCCAGACAACGTGGATGTGCAGTGTCCCAAGTATTAAACAAAATAAAAGCAAGGAGTGGATTTGCTACTGTCAGTGTAGTATTTATTAGAATAAGTAAAAGCAAATAAAAAGACAATATTGCACTCGTAGTGGATCATGATATAAGCTTATGTAAAAATACCAGCAGGTGACACTTTTTCAGGAGTCCCATTGGAAGGTACATAGATGGTACATCACCAATTGCTATGGTTGAATAAGCATAACAGTGAGTGGTGTGATCCAACCATAGGCTGGGAGACAGAGAGCCAGCACTGGTAAAGGACAAAAGGATGGGAGGCCACAGTGAGCAGCAAGGAAATGGAATTACTTCTGTATGAGTGTCTGCGATAATGTCACATGTAGGGGGCAGAGCAACGCATTTCAAGGCAATGACAAGTGAGATCATCGCAGCCGCTCGTCCAACCATGTATCATTGATATGCCACGTTCATTCATGTGTATTAGCCAACACCTGTTGATGACATGATTGAATACCTTTTGAGATGCTGTGTACATTCATTCTTATGTGAGTGCGATACCTACTTATCTTTTTATCATTGTCCACGTTTTCTCATCATCGCTACACTTAGACAGTGGTGTTCTCTCTTCTTCTCCTTTAATGTTTTATACACATTGAAGAATCCAAGAAGCCACTACCAGCTGATGTTACTATAGAATATGTCTTGACATGCTGTGTTCGTCCATTTGTATGCAAGCGCAATTCCTACCTTCTATATTGTTTACCAGTGTCCTCACAACTACTACACTTAGAAAGTGGAGCTCTCTCTCCCTGCTCTCATGTCTCTTATTTGCTTTACATGTGTTGGTGAGAAGACTCCAGAGTGTGCACGAAGGAGAGACTGCTGACGCTGTTGAAGTGTACTTTCCAAAAAGAGACTTTTCAGTGTACTATTGTCCTTTTGAAGAGGTACCTCGCCACCATGCCCCAATATTTAGTAGAGGGAATCTTTAGTAGAGGGACTCACTGTGTTTGTGCTGGGTTGCATGTACATCCTTTGTTTGGGGGCTGTATTTGTTTATTGTATTTTTTGGTGGTGAAACATGACTTCTTAACATATTCTTTATGTTAATCAGGTGGATGGATTTGACAGTGTAGATGATGAATCAAAACCTGAGCATCATATATTTAATATGGAGAGTCCTCTGCCTGGGAACTGGAGAGAGGATGACAACCCACCTTATTCCTATTACTTGTATTACATGTTTGCCAACATGACCGTTCTGAACCACTTGCGCAGGTATATGTACACATCTTACTTAAAGCAACTGCCCTGCTGTTGTAGTTTTTTTTCTGGCTTGTACATTTATACTGTGACTGGATTATTCAGGGAATCCTAATATCTTGCACAGAAATGTTACTTTATCTCATACAGTGGAATTCACTGAGGAGATAGGTCCATCTGTTGATCTTCTAGAACCTTAAGTAAAATGTAATCTATAGATACTTCAGCCAAATTAGTATAGCAATAAACAGTCCCTGAGGTGAGCTTACAGTTAAAGAAGGGTGTACTGTATTGGGACTGCAGCTAGCTGTAACCCTTCTAAAAGGGAAGTATGTATCTGTGTGTATGACTCATCAGCAGTGGCGAGTATTGTAGGTTGAAAATGTATAAGGATACTAGGGAAGACTGTAATGTTAGCAAAGTTTTATAAAATGACAGCAGCATGTATCACCAGGGGCTGCATGGGGTTCTTTAGACCATGCGCCTCCAGAATTTCCAGAGGTTTACATTATAACTCAGCTACAGATATCTTCCTCCTGCATTTAGTTAAGAGTGGCTTTGTTGTTCAGTGAGGGACACAGGGTCTTTAGTCATTACCATAGGTTATGTGCAGCTACCTTCAGGTGATTGGTCACTGGCAAAAAAAGCTGCCGAAACCTCTCCTATAGAACCCCTCCCAACCCCAGTCAGCCTTAGTTGTTGCTTGTGTCCTCTCCCCTCTACTGGGACAAACTTACCTTCTTCTTTGGACTTTTTTTTATTCTCTCTTCTGCTGATTCTTTTATCAAGATGTTTTTTTTCTCACAAGATTCCTGGCTGCACCATAGATATTGTGACTATTACTGAAGCTTCCAGATTGGTTGACTCCTTTGCTGGGCCTTAGGGGAAAGGACCTTCACCAGAATGAAGATGGGGACAGGCCTGTAATGTTGCTGAGGCTACTGAATACTGCTTGGGCACTGTCCTTGGCACATACACTATATTGCTAAAAGTATTGGGACTCCTGCCTTTAAACACACATGAACTTTAATGGCATCCCAGTCTTAGTCCGTAGGGTTCAATATTGAGTTGGCCCACTCTTTACAGCTACAGCTTCAACTCTTCTGGGAATGCTGTCCACGAGGTTTAGAAGTGTGGTTATGGGAATGTTTGACCATTCTTCCAGAAACGCAACTGTGAGGTCAGACACTGATGTTGGACATGAAGGCCTGGCTTGTAGTCTCTGCTCTAATTCATCCCAAAGGTGTTCTCTCGGGTTGAGGTCAGGATTCTGTGGAGGCCAGTCAAGTTTCTCCACCCCAAACTCGGTCATCCATGTCTTTATGGACCCTGCTTTGTGCACTGGTGCGCAGTCATGTTGGAATAGGAAGGGGCCATCCCCAAACTGTTCCCACAAAGTTGGGAGCATGAAATTGTCCAAAATGTCTTGGTATGCTGACACCTTAAGAGTTCCCTTCACTGGAACTAAGGGGCCAAGCCCAACCCCTGAAAAACAACCCCAAACCATAATCCCCCCCTCCACCAAACTTTACACTTGGTACAATGCAGTCAGGCAAGTACCGTTGTCTGCCAAACCCAGGTACATTAATCAGATTGCCAGACAGAGAAGTGTGATTGGTCACTCCAGAGAACACGTCTCCACTACTCTAGAGTCAAGTGGCGGCGTGCTTTATGCCACTGCATCCGACGCTTTGCATTGCACTTGGTGATGTAAGGCTTGAATGCAGCTGCTTGGCCATGGAAACCCATTCCATGAAGCTCTCTACGCACTGTTGTGCTAATCTGAAGGCCACATGAAGTTTGGAGGTCTTTAGCTATTGACTCTGCAGACAATTGGGGACTTCTCCGCACTGTGCACATCAGCATGCACAGACCCCGTTCTGTCATTTTATGTGGCCGAGTTACTGTTATTCCCAGTTACTTCCACTTTGTTATAATACCACTAACAGTTGACCGTGGAATATTTAGTAGCAAGGAAATATCACGGATGGACTTTTTTTATAATCAATCTTTATTAACATTTTCCGATGACATGAAGTAAAATAAACAAAATAGTGAGTCAGCAGATATATTTCATCTTTTTTATCTGACAAAGAAGTAATAAATACAAAGGAAACCCCCATAAGACAACAGAGGTAAGCAGACATCTTGACCATAGTTGCGCATAAACGGCATAACCATAACACTTAGAATTCCAGTAATTCAAACAAAAGAAATAAGAGGAAAGAAAAGAGAGAAAAAAAGGGGGGGGAGGGGGAAAGGGGGAGGGGGGGAAAAAGGAAGGAAGAAAAGCATAGCACTAGACTTTCAGAAACATCCAATAAAGCAGTCCGCAGAAGTAGTAAGGACCAAATAGCAGTAGGAAAAAACCCATGTGTACAAACCGGCTCAAATTGCGAGCACTAAACAGAGAAGCTACCCAAAAAAGGCTCATGCATTTGGTATTTCAGAGGAATAAAACATCCATCCTTGCCAAGTATCTTTAAATTTCTCCCCCTGACCTCTAACCAGGTGGACCCAACGCTCGGCATCCATTATTTTATCCACTTCCGTTTCCCATCCGATAGTGTAGGGCATTCAGACCGTTTCCACAATCTAAGGACCAAAGATCTGGCCGCATTCAGAAGGTGGGGTGTAACGCTACACCTGAAGGCCTTCATAGAGGCTGAAGTCACATGAAAGAGTAAACAGAGGGGGGATTGCTCCAGAGGGCCCAATGACAATTTCTGTATCCATGGGAAAATTGCAGTCCAAAAGGGCGCAATTTTAGGGCAAGTCCATCAGAGGTGGAGAAAGGTACCATGATGACCACAACCTCTCCAACAGAGGGGGTTAGCGGTGGGAAAAATTTGGGCCATGCGGGATGGGGTCCGATACCATTGAGTAAGAAATTTATAAGAGGATTCCTGAACACGGAGCTGATGGAGAAGGAGTGTGCCATTTTAAAAATCCTATGTATCTGCTGAGGGGAAAAATCAAGGCCCAGTTCTTTCTCCCATTCCTTCACAAAATATGGAGTTGATATGGAATACTCGCTCAACACCAATTTATACATTTGGGATAATAAATGTCTAGAATCAGGGAGCGCAGTACACATACATTCATATGCTGTAAGGGTCTGTCCAAAATGGGCAGATAGCACTCCATTCACCTTCACACAGGCACAAGGAGAATTATATAAGGCTAAAATCCAACCCATCATGCGTTCCCCCCAGACCACAAAACCTCCGTCATATAAGTCCAGTCCACCCGATCAAACGCCTTCTCTGCATCCATGGACAACACTACACAAGGTGTTCGATCTGGGCCATACTGAGCCCAATGCAAGATATGCAGAGCCCGATTAATGTTATCCTGGGCCTCACGGCCCACTATAAAGCCAGTCTGATCCAGGTGGACTAGGCTCGCAACAGGATCCTGCAAGCACAAAGAGAGGATCTTGACCAATAGCTTAGTGTCAGAATTCAATAAAGAAATGGGCCTATAATTAGCACAGTGTTGAGGGTCCTTTCCGGGTTTAGGCAGAATAGTGATATGAGCCAAAAGCGCTTCGCGGGGCAAGAAATTGGCCAAGGTAAGGGAGTTAAGGTACGTACATAAAGGGCCAGCAAGAAGTGAGAAAATTTTTTATAATATTGATTAGAGAAGCCATCCGATCTCGGGCTTTTGCCCAAGGGAAGGGAGGCAACCACCTCAAACAATTCCTCTAGCGTGATCGGCCGTTCAAATTCTTCAACAATCATAGAAGGCAATGCAGGGAGAGGGGAATCATTTAGATAATTGCAATGGAATGAAGCCGAGCTCCACACTGGGAGGTGTACAGGGAGATCATATATAGAAGCATAGAACTGCTGAAACAAATCTGCAATTGAGTGGGAATCTTCCATATGACCCTCACACGTCACCAGACTATAAACATGGCGTAAGGTCTGATGCTTTTTTAATTGCCTAGCTAAAAGGCGGCCACATTTGTTCCCCTGCTTATAGAAACGATGAGCATAAAATCGAATTTTATCTAAATCTTTACGGTCCAAACATTGAGAGAGAGTAACACCTAAAGTATCTAAAGCTTGGGCTGAGGAGTCAAAATATCCTTTATGTTTAGTTTCCAGAGCATGAATCTTGTCCAGCAACTCCCCAATCTCCTTCATCTTCTCTTTCTTACGTCTAGAATCATGGGCGATCAATTCCCCCCAATCACTGCCTTATGGCCTTCCCAGACCGCTTGCATGGACGCGTCACCAGCAGAATTAGTCTCAAAATAGTATGGTAAGGAGCGGGAGATTGCCTCAACCACCGTCGGATCATCCAACAAATTCACGTTAAGTCGCCACACCATTTCAGTCCAGTAGGCAGCCGGAGCGCAGATAGAGAGCACCACAGGAGAGTGATCAGATATGGTAATGGAGCCAATAGAGGATTTAAGCTCATTACACAAAGAAAACTGATCAATGAAGAGAAGATCCAAACGGGAGTAAGAATCATGTGTCTTAGAAAAAATAACTACCGTATATACTCGAGTATAAGCCGACCCGAATATAAGCCGAGGTACCTAATTTTACCACAAAAAACTGGGAAAAACAATTGACTCGAGTATAAGCCGAGGGTGGGAACACCAGTGGGAAGAATCGTGCCTCATCATTGGTGTCAGTGGGAGGAATAGTGCCCCATCATTGGTGTCAGTGGGAGGAATAGTGCCCCATCATTGGTATCAGTGGGAGGAATAGTGCCCCATCATTGTAATCAGTGGGAGGAATAGTGCCCCATCATTGGTATCAGTGGGAGGAATAGTGCCCCATCATTGGTATCAGTGGGAGGAATAGTGTCCCATCATTGGTATCAGTGGGAGGAATAGTGCCCCATCATTGGTATCAGTGGGAGGAATAGTGCCCCATCATTGGTGTCAGTGGGAGGAATAGCACCCCATCATTGGTGTCAGTGGGAGGAATAGTGCCCCATCATTGGTATCAGTGGCAAGAATAGTGCCCCATCATTAGTATCAGTGGGGGGAATAG